ATTTCACCATTCTGTCTTCCAGCTCACTTAATCCTTTCTTCTGCTTCAGTTATTCTCCTATTGATTCCTTCTAGTGTATTTTTCATTTCAGTTATTGTATTGTTTATTTCTGTTTGTTTGTTCTTTAATTCTTCTAGGTCTTTGTTAAACATTTCTTGCATCTTCTTCATCTTCGCCTCCTTTCTTTTTCCAAGGTCCTGGTTCAGCTTCACTGTCATTCTGCATTCTTTTTCTGGAAGGTTGCGTATCTCCACTTCATTTAGTTGTTTTTCTGGGGTTGTATCTTGTTCCTTCATCTGGTACATAGCCCTCTGCCTTTTCAGCTTGTCTGTCTTTCTGTGAATGTGGTTTTTGTTCCTCAGGCCACAGGATTGTAGTTCTTCTTGCTTCAGTTGTCTGCCCTCTGGTGGATGAGGCTATCTAAGAGGCTTGTCCAAGTTTCCTGATGGGAGGGACTGGTGGCTGGTAGAGCTGGGTGTTGCTCTGGTAGGCAGAGCTCAGTAAAACTGTAATCCACTTGTCTGCTGATGGATAGGGCTGGGTTCCCTCCCTGTTGGTTGTTTGGCCTGAGGCATCGCAACACTGGAGCCTACCTGGGCGTTTTGGTGGGGCTCATGGCGAACTCTGGGAGGGCTCAAGCCAAGGAGTACTTCCCAGAACTTCTGCTACCAGTGTCCTTGTCCTCACGGTGAGACACAGCCACTCCCCGCCTCTGCAGGAGACCCTCCAACACTAGCAGGTAGGTCTGGTTCAGTCTCCTATGGGGTCACTGCTCCTCCCCCTGGGTCCCGATGTGCACACTACTTTGTGTGTGCCCTCCAAAAGTGGACTCCCTTTTTCCCCCAGTCCTGTCAAAGTCCTGCAGTCAAATCCTGCTAGCCTTCAAAGTCTGTTTCTCTGGGAATTCCTCCTCCTGTTGACAGACTCCTGGGTTGGGAAGCCTGACATGGGGCTCAGAGCCTTCACTCCAGTGGGTGGACTTCTGTGGTATAAGTGTTCTCCGGTTTGTGAGTCACCCACCCAGCAGGTACGGGATTTGATTTTATTGTGATTGCACCCCTCGTACCATCTCATTGAGGCTTCTCCTTTGTCTTTGGATGTGGGGTATTGTTTTTGGTTAGTTCCAGTGTCTGCCTGTCGATGATTGTTCAACAGTTAGTTGTGATTTCGGTGCTCTCGCAAGAGGGAGTGAGCTCACGTCCTTCTACTCCACCATCTTGAACCAGTCTCCTCCTCAATATCATTTATTGAAGAGGCTGTTTCAGGCCTTGAATTCCAGTCTGTAATCCATTTTGACTTAATTTGTGTATGGTGTAAGATAGTCGTCTAGTTTTATTTTTTTGCATGTGGTGGTCCAGTTTTCCCACCAGTATCACTTATTGAAGAGACTGTCCTTTCTGCAGTGTATTTTTTTCTTCTTTTGTCATAGATTAAATGTCCATATATGCGTGGATTTATTTCTGGGCTCTATATTCTGTTCCATTTATCTATGTGTCTGTTTTTGTGCCAGTACCATACTGTTTTGGTTACTATAGCTGTGTAGTATAGTTTGAAATCAGGGAGTGTGATACCACCAGCTTTGTTCTTATTTCTCAAGATTGTTTTGGCTATTCAGAGTCTTCTGTGGTTCCATACAAACTTTAGAATTATTTCTTCTGGTTCTGTGAAATCTGCCACTGGCATTTTGTAGGGATTGCACTGAATCTGTAGATTGCTTTGGGTAGTATGCACATTTTTACAATATTCTTCCAATCCGTGAGCATGGAATATTTTTCCATTTTTTGAGTATCTTCAGTTTTTTTCATCTGTGTCTTATAGTTTTCAGTGTACAGGTTTTCCCGTCCTTGGTCAAATTTATTCTTAGGTCTCTTATGCCTGGTAAATATTTATTGGATGCTAGACATTGTGAATTTTACTTTGGTGAGTGCTAGATATTTTTGTATTCTGGTAAATATTCTTAAGCTTTGTTCTGGGACACAGTTCCTTGGAAACAGTTTTATCATTCTGGGTCTTGCTTTTAAGATTTGTTAAGTGAGAACAGATTATTAGTGTTTAGTGCTAATTATTTCCCACTGCTGAGACCCTTCTGAGTATTCTACTTGTATCTCTCTGAAATGAAGTTTTAAGTCTGGCTTGTGGGAAAATGAACTCTGTGTGAGCTCTAAATACTCATCCCCTCTAATCCTTTCAGGTGGTCCTTTGCCATGGCCAGGAAGCTTTTGCAAAGCTCAGCTTCTGTGTTTTCTGTCTCTTAGGGATCTTTCTTGCTTCATTATGTCCAGTGTCTTGAAAACTATTGGTTTTTTTTTTGTTCAGTCTTTTATTTGTTTCAGGCAGGAGGGTAAACCTGGTCTCTATGCCGTCTGCTGGCAGTGGAAGCACTTTTATTTTTAATTAAAATATTTAAATTAATTATGGAAATCTCAAACAAGTACAGAAGTGTAGTGAGTGGTATGATGCATCCCCACATACCCATCCCCCAGCATCAGTAATTACCATCTCTGAGCCAGTCTTGTTTTATCTTCTAACACTTCTGCCTCTGTCTCTCAACCCCTCTGGATTATTTTGAAGCAAATCATATCATCTCAACCCTAAATATTTTAGTGTACATCTCTATTATATACCAAAGCAGTTCCTCAAAAGTGTTTCCACAGGGGCTTCCCTGGTGGCGCAGTGGTTGAGAATCTGCCTGCCAATGCAGGGGACACGGGTTCGAGCCCTGGTCTGGGAAGATCCCACATGCCGCGGAGCAACTGGGCCCGTGAGCCACAACTACTGAGCCTGCGCGTCTGGAGCCTGTGCTCCGCAACAAGAGAGGCCCCAACAGTGAGAGGCCCGCGCACCGTGATGAAGAGTGGCCCCCGCTTGCCACAACTAGAGAAAGCCCTCGCACAGAAACGAAGACCCAACACAGCCCAAAATAAATAAAGTAATTAATTAATTAAAAAAAAAAATTTCCTCATAAAAAAAAAAAAGTGTTTCCACAATACCATTTACATACCTAAAGTACTTATTTCTTTGAACCTCTTAGTGTTGTGTCTTTGTTCACGTATTCCTAATTTTCTCACAGTTTTGCTTGTTTGTTGTTATTTTTAAAGTTGGTTTGTTTGAAAAAGCATCCAAATAAAATTTACTTATTCTTTTTTAATTACCATTCCTTCTCACTTTGGACTTGAAATTATTTCAGACTCTTGACATCATAAACCATATTATAACAGGATCTTTCCATCTGGTTTCTTTAGCCCCATTCACTGCCTCTCCTTCCCATAGCCACCAGTTGTCTCCCACCAAAACTTTTGATCCATCTTGCTTCTTCCTAAAATATGCATATGGTAATGCTGTTCTGAAGCTTAAAAACCTTCAGTGAATAAGCAAGGTACAGAAAAATGTGTATGGTATGCCTTTCTTTATAGAAAAATTAGAAGTAGTGTATATGCTTATATATCTGTATACTCTGCTTCAAGAAGGATGCATAAATTATCGACAGTGGTTGCTTCCTAAGATGGAAACTACATGACTGAAGTGAGAAGATGTAGTTTTTTAATATTATATTTTATTTTGTTTGAATTATTTTATTTATGTAATTTATTCATTTTAAGTAAAAGGAAAAAAATTTTTAAATATTGAATAAATTATAAGAGTATGAACTTGGTGTTCAGGAAGCTTCCACTACTTTCCCTTTTGTTTCCAGCCAGGATGCAGCTCTCCAAGGTGGCATTTAATGGAATTGTGTCAGCGCGGCCTTGGTGTCACAGAGTCTAGAGATTACTACCAACATTAACACAGGCGCCCAGGATTCTAAATTTTCTGTAATGCTTAGGGTGGTTCTACCTAAAATGCCTTTAGGTCACCTTTGAGGATCATTTTTCTCCCCAGGGAATTTAATATTTTATCCATTCTTTGGTTTTGGTTCTACCTAAGCTTTAATTTTCCCATTCCTTTGATGTGCCTTTCTTTCTATCCTAAATATCTTTTTTGTTCATCTTTACCTTTCTGGTAAGCCTGTATTGCCTATTTTTATAGGTATTCGTATGTATAAATTATTTTTCACTTGAAAGTTTGAACTTTTTACGGGGAGAGATATACTTCCTTTGAGGTTTTGTAATCTTTAGCAAGTTTGACTCTGTGTTTCAGTTTTGATAAAAAGGGGTATGATAATGTAGCTATATTCTGGATTGTTTTGGGGATTAAATAAATTCATGCATGTAAGGAATTTAGAACAGTATGTTATGTAGATTATAGTATGTTGCACAGTGCTTTACATATAGTAGGCATTCATTCAGTAAAGTTTTTGGAATATTTGGAGTATTGACGAATAAATAAATGAATATTATTCTTAGTTTTCAGAGATTAATGTAAATACAAACTAGGTCTTTTTTTTTTTTTTTTTACAACCAGTATTCATTAATTAATTGACTCAAGAAATAATCGAGTGTTTCCTTTGTGCTAGGCAGTAGTGCGAGGTTTCAGGAACACATGGTAACTAAAGACTAACTGTGTGTTCTTTTAAGGAGCTTACGTAAATACTTATTGAAATATGAGTTCTATAAGAGTATAACATGGAGGAGCCTAAATTAATTTTGCTGGTAAATATCAGCTTTCTCTGATTGAAAATAAGTCTGAAGAATTTCCTGTGGTATACCAAATTGTTATACCTTTATTTTTCTTGCTTCAGAAAATAGAATCAGCCAGTGTATCCAACATGATAATCTTAGCTGCCAACATAGTTTTTCCTATTAATAACAATAATAATAATCAGTAATTGTCTTTACCTCATGTTAATGGAATTTTGGACATGTCTGAGAGCTTGAAATTGAGTTTCTTTGTTTCAAATGATGGTTCTATTTTTATAATAGTTATTGTAAAATTAGGTATATCATGAAATTTCTATTAGTTTAATTTTATTGTCATAATTAGGAGAGAAGCTTTGAAATTTGATTCTTCAATTTAATATTTGTGATTTCATATTTAGAATTATTTTATATTTCTCTACATATTAGGTATTAAGTCCACAAAAGTTGGAATTGTTACGAGCTGAAATACAACAAGAACTAGAAACTCCAATGAGAGAATGTTTTAGGCATCTGGATGAAGTAAGTAATTTGTATAGAAGGACTGTGCATTTATCTTCATGTGACTGTGAAAGGCTTGAGGAAAAGCATCATTCTCCTACTCAAAAGCCCTGCAATAGCTTCCATTCTTACTCAGAGTCCTTATAGCAGCCTTTAAGACTGCACACGATCAGATCCCATTCTTGCGTCCACATTGGCCTTCTTGGTGTTTCTTTGGCACTTCAGAAATGGTGCAGTTCAAGTCTTTGCCCTAGCTGTTATTCCTGCCACGTATCTCTTGGCTAATTTTCTCATCCTTTTCAAGTCTGCTGAAATTTCACCTTTCCAGTAGGGCCTACTTTGACCAACCCCTGCCTCCTTTTAATATTGCAACTTGCCTTTCCTGTCACTCTTTAGACTTATGGATACCCGTTTACCCTGCTCTACTTTTTATTTTTCTCTAGTATTTATAATCTTCTAATATGCTTTATAATATTTATTGTGCTTATTTTTAAATTTTTCCCTTTTACAACTGCTAGAATGTAAGTTGTATGAGAGGAGGAACCTTTATCTGGTTTTGTTCACTGTTAGAGTCCAAGTTCCTAAAACACTTCCTAGCATACAACAGGTGCTCAATTAATGTTTGCTGAATGAACGAATGAATTTCATGCAGCCTCAGAAAAGTAAAAATTTGTTAGTTTTTCTTCAGATTGAGATCAGTCTCCTCATATGAAATGTTGGTATAATGTGACTGAATGTTTAATAAAGGGAACAGGAAGAGATGACAGATATTGACTACATTAGGTACTATCCTAGACATTTTATACGTTACCTTATTTAATAAACATACTGGGCCTTATACATACAAATGAATATTGTCCCCCTCAAAATGGTCCCCTTTGGAAAGTTGTAGACTAGTGATGCTGTCATTGCACAAAACAGTTGTGGGAATCTTCTTTTATAAATGATTTTCTGGCTTGATAAAGTCATCTTTTCAATATCATCCTGGTGGGTAACCAGAGCATTATGGTTTAGGAGTAGATTTAATTTTGGATTACAAAAAATCACTTAAATCTGAGGTAGGTGACCAAGTTAAGTAAAAGCATGTTTTTTTAAAAAAAGTATGTGTCTAATTAAATCACAAAACCCACTTTCTTGGTTTGTAAACAGGCTTAGAAATCTTTCAACTAAAGATTTATAGTGAGCTGAGTATTTTAGGGGGCATGCTTTCCTTGTTAATTCCCTGATGTATGTTGGAATAGTGTCTCCATCTTCCTGCTCTGTTGCCTGAGTTTTTATTGAGATTCAGAATGCCAGCAACTTTTGAAGTGTTAGGAAGCAGAATTTTAGAGCATAGGCATTGCATGTGTTCTTGGTTATTCAGGAGAGTTGGTGCTACATATATACTTCAGACTGGTGTGTTGAATTGGACTATCATTGTAATATTTGACTGAACCTTGAGTTACTGTACTAAACATTCAAATAATCATTTACCTACTTAGAATTCATCCTTTTTGACTTTTAATGGGGTATTTTATATTTTAATACAGAACTAATTTTTAAAATCTTTTGAAAGGTGTGCTACATTTTAAAATATTTTATTAAGCCCAGAGGTCAAAAGTTTTGACATGCTAATACATTTTTATTATTAGAATCAGTGAGAAAATAAGATTAATTGAAGGGTAATTTGTTTTACTGATACCTTTTCAGGAGTGTGCTAGTTCTGTTTGTAGCATTCTTGTCATGAGAACTTTTCCAATATTTGTTTATACTTCTGTTAAGCTTAATTTTTTACTTTTAGAATGGCTCTTAGTATAAAACAACTTAAAATTTTTGAAAAGGTGATTTTTGAAGTGAGTACAAATTTCATTTATAAATTTGTGATAAATTACAATCTTCTTTTAATTTAGGAAGTAGAAAAGTATAGAGCTGAATATAATAAACTTCGCTATGAACATACATTTCTCAAATCAGAATTTGAACACCAGAAAGAAGAATTTGCACGTATTTTAGAAGAAGAAAAAATAAAATATGAATCAGAGGTGAGTGACTGATTATACTAGTTTAGTCATTATCCTGCTAGTCAATAAAATTTTATGATTTTATATTTTTTGTGAATCTCAACTTAAAGTTGATTGCATAATTGTTTTATTAATTAATGGTTAAGTATTTGTCATGATTTTCATCTGCTCTATAGCAACATTTTTCTGGTGAATGTTCTTTTTGGACTGTTAAAAGAGAAAAAGATGAAGAAAATTTATTTTGCCCCAGTCAATGGAGATAGATAGCAGAGACAGACTTCTCTTTGCAAATACAGTTTGTCTGTGTGATTGCTTATTTAGCACTGTTCCCCTCTACTTATTGGAATCAAACCATGTTCAGGAGAGCTCTGGCTGTCAGCCCATGCTCCTTGTTTCCACTGATACAAACAAGGGGTTTATACATTAGGGTGTGCCCATCACCATCACTTTGTTCTTTCTGGCATCTACAACTGCAGCATTCTGTCTCTGATGCCTATAGCCTATAACCCTATTCTCTATCTATTAAGTTTGGCAGCCTCCCTTCTCATTTTGTCGTTTGTCTCCTAATTTTGCCAAAAATGAGGTTTGTGTCTCTTATTCTTCTTGTTGCTTTTAGGTGATTTTTCAGGATGGAAAGAGAAATATCAGTTTTATGTTGCTATATTCAAATAAGAAATCTAATGCTAGTTGAATTTATTAAAAAATAGCTTGTCCGTACTTACATGAAGCATTCTATGTACAAACACTTCTTCATAATACATTTATTGCATTGACTTTATTTGGAATTAAGAGCTAAAATATACTCTCCTTCCTTTACCAATTACTAATTGGATCAGACTGATTTCTTCTTATCAGTGAGCAAATTGCTCCATGATTGTTTGAAATGTAAGAAGTTGAATGAACTTTGGATCATTTGAGTCCATTAAGAATTTGGTACCAAAAAACTAAAAATAATTATAGTCTTTCATTTAAAAAATTATTATTTTTTACATATGATCTCATGTCTATTATGGTCAGTGATATGGAGCAGGGCCGTCTTATTTTCTCCATTTTAAATGGCGACACTGAAGCACGAGATAAGTGACTTGCCCAAAGTCTCACAGAAACTCAGCAGCCAAGTTAACAGTAGAACTCAGGTACCCCAACTCCCACCCAGAGTTTTAAGTTTCAAATTATTAATGATTTGAGGTTGCCATGCTAATTAGGGGCCATCTAACCACTGTAATATTGTAGAGAGATCAATTGATTTATATTATGTAAGATTTTGAAAGATTTTGAGTTTGTAATAATGATAGACTTAAAGGAACTACATATAAAAATTTTCCTGTGGAAAAAAAAGAATGATAAAAAGATTTCCAACCTAAAATGTAGATTTAGTATATTGAAGAGTAACTACTGAGGCTGAAGATAGTGATGCTTTATTTTATACTTTGCTTTTAAAATCTAATGTTGATGTTTATCTGGTAATGATTATTTGTATTCTGTAGTTTCTAGATTTATTGTGTTTTTAAAGAATGAAACCTGCATCTGAAACCTGATGGCTATTCTATTTTTCACCCATGAAAGACCAAATGATAGTCATTAAAAATTTTAAGGTGCCAGTGGCATCTTAAATAATTTTCTAATTGGAATGTCTTATGACATTCTTAGAAATCTGGAGATAAACGGCTAGCTAGGAAGCTATGATTAGTAAAGGCTAGAAAAGTAAAACTTTGTAATAAGACTGAAGTTCTTGTATGAGTGTGTTTCGTGTTTGGTAATTGCAATCATTGTTGCTTTTGTTGTGGTCATCCATTTACAATGCTTGGTGTCAGCTTATCTCTTGTAAAAATAAAATACAGTGTATGTGTATGAGTTGGAAAAAAGAAGACTGAAGTTCTCTCCTTTCTACTTCCTAGTTGATTATGCAGGAGTAATATTAATTAGTGGATAATTGGGTATCTGCTTTCATTCCATCACTTATCTTTACACTCCAGTTTCTCTTTACAATTAAAGTAAAAACTAGTGAGATGATGTGGACACAAAACAGCAGTAAAACTTCAAAGTAAAACCTACTCTTGCCATCTATCAATTTTACAGTTTTAACTGGTATAAAATATATTAGCTGGGTGTACTAAAAATAATTGGATTTTCTTGAATTAATTAAGGACTCACACAATACTGTACATTTTCACTTCTACAGATAAAAAAAATAACTGAATATTCTTTAGTGTTTTGTTTCATAGGGGAATACTTGAGGAAGATTTTGTTAGTGTTTTCCTGAGGAGCACTCTAGGAATTCACATGTCCCTCATCATTTTTTATTTATTTATTTATTTTTTTGCGGTACGCGGGCCTCCCACTGTTGTGGCCTCTCCCGTTGTGGAGCACAGGCTCCGGACGCGTAGGCTCAGCGGCCATGGCTCACGGGCCCAGCCGCTCTGCGGCATGTGGGATCTTCCCAGACCAGGGCACGAACCCATGTCCCCTGCATCGGCAGGTGGACTCTCAACCACTGCGCTGCCAGGGAAGCCCCCTCATCATATTTTGAAGTTTAAAAAGTATATGAAAGAAGATATCTTTATGAAAAAGATAATGGCATGATTTCTCAGTGCATTTGGCTGTATACAGATGAAATTCTGAAGTTACATATATAGCTGTTATTTGGAAGTGGTACTACTGTGTTTATATTAGGATTCTGATTTTATATTTTTCTGCAAATAGTAATGAAGAGCAGTACAAAGAGTTTTAGGTACAGGTGATTGTAATGTAGCCTGAATGAGTGAAAGAGTAATCCAGTGGAGATACTAAGATCTTGAGAGAGGATATGAAAACCTGTCAGTGACACAATACATAGTGACAGGTCTCCGAGATTATTCCATCAATGCTTTCCAAACTGGCTGAGCTCTACCTTGGCTTGTATGGGGCTGGTGAGAAGCCAAATTTCCTATGGCAAAGAATGAGAACTTCTTTGGGTCCCTGTTACCACATGCTGTTTTTTCATTATAGCACTGGTAGCACAGAACTTGATAATGCGCTCCTTCTTTGGGTCCTTATCCTGACGTGTATGTCGGTAGACATCATGAAATCTCTCAAAACACTTCTTTTTTGTTCTGATAGGTTTTGAAGTTCTACCTGGAGTGCTGCTTTAGGTCCCGGTGGGTTCCGTTACCTGAAATATTCCAAGTTCTCTAACTTAACACCCTTCTCAGATTACTCTGAACTATTGATACATTACAATAGATAAAAGTCTCCCAAATTAAAATTAAATTACTTCACAGTTGGAATTCTCTGAAATTGATTTTAGCAAACTTTTAAGAAGGGCTTTGTGAAATTTGACTCATTAAACTTTTCTGTGAATGCATTTTTGAATATCTCAAAAACTTTTTGCATGTAAAATTTTAAACATTTTAGGTGTTCATTTAGCATGACATGGGGAACGGACTTAACTTCTCTGTGCATCAGTGTCCTCATCTATAAAATGGTGTTGTCAGTAGTATCTATCTCATGGAGGTGTTTTGAGGATTTAATAAATTAATGTGTGTAAAGTGCTTAGACAGCACATAGTAAGCCTTCAATAAGTGGTAGCTGCTATTATCATTATTTAAAGTTCCACATGCTCAGATTTCTTGAGTATATGATCTTGTCCTTTACTTGAGCATGTTAGAGTTTTCAGTGTCAGGTCTGCACTTAGATCCTCTAAGTATTTTGAGGGTATATCTTATTACAGTGCCTGCATCCCCCATCTTCATCTCACCATCATTCTGACTGCTCTGCTTTCAGGTGCTCTCTGCCCTAGCTTTTCCTATCAGTCACAGTTAGTTATCTTTCTTTTACTACACTCATGACCTCTCAGGGCCTGAAAAAGGCATATGTTTATTATCCCTATTCTCTTGTTCAGTTTGAGTAGAATTCTTCTAAAGACCCTGAACATCACCTCATTTCCCAACAGTTCTTGCATCCCATCGTCTGATCTTTCCATATTTATGTCTGGAGGCAAATACACAGTCATGGGGAGAAAGTTCTTAGTACTATCTTTCTCTTACTAGGAGAAAGTAAGGAGTTTAAGGAAAGGAGATGTTATCTTCCAAAATTAGATTAAAATATGAACTTTAAATCTGTAAATAATTTAAGTGCTACCTTCTTCTTAGTGTAAATAAATGAGAAAATGTTTTTGTTTTCCATCATTGATATAGGAAAAATCAATTCTAATACATATAGGGGAAACTTGGAATAATAGGAATATAAAAAGGTAAGCTAACTTGATTTTAGAAACAAAGATCAGGGAACTTGAAATTTCATGTGCAAAATGTTTACCATAATGCATGACAAATAGTAAATATTCAAATTAATGGTATTATCACTATTAGTACCTGACAGCATTAATCATAGTACTAATTTTCATAATAAATATAGTAGATATTTTTAAATAGATTTCATATTTGTAATTGAGAAGCTACAGAAGTTGAAGAAGTGAAAGAAAACAAATTTGTATTTAATTTACTGGGAGAAGCACTTTATAATTCTTTGAATTTTGTCAGCAACCCTAGAGATTAGATTATCATTATTCCCATTTTATAAATGAGAAAATGCTCATGAAGCACTGAGAGACTGGTTCAAGGTTGGACAGCTAGTAGGTGGTAGAGCCAGGAATCGAATCTAGGTAGTCTGGGGGTTTCTGCTTCTGGCCATTGTAGAGTTTTAGGGACTGAATTTAACTTAAGGTGCTGACTAAAAACTGGGACAAAATATAGGAAACTGTGGTTTTCAGAGACTAGAAAACAGGCAGTACAAGGCAGTGATCCCTAAAAGAAGGAAACAAATAAAATGAGCTCTCAGATTGCCTCATCTTATGTCCACCAGAGTGGAAAGGCCACCTAATGCATGGTGCATTGCATAGAAGACTCAGAAGGATTTTATCTCAGTAGTAGGGCCAAATTAGCCCCACAATAGTGGCTACTCTGGTTCTGCCTGACAAGTGTAAAAGAAAGATTTGAAAGGATCAAACTATTCCTAAGTAACTTAACTGAATAATAGAACAA